TGATGGCTTTATCTGGACCCCAGAGGGCTTGAATATCCCCCACTGTCCAGTTATACTTCCTGGCACCCACAAGAGGCTCTTTCTTGGTTCAGATTTACTCTGCGAGTGAAACTTTCCCTGGTGAATACCTTGTGGTACTGGCATCTTCAGCATCCTTGGATCTCCATTACAACTGGCAATCAGTTCTAACCATCACACCTAAGTTATCATCTTGGGAATTTCTTCATTAATCAGCCATGATATCCATTAGTTACATCTTGAGCCATCTTTATTTCATGGCCTGCTTATGGTTAGAGGGCTTGGGTGAATTCCTATTAGTACAAAGTTTGTGGGAGTCATCTGTATAAAACTTCCTTTGAGTCATCTTCCATGTTTTCCAAAAACTCCTTTGTGAGCTGAATTGACATGTTAGAGTTCTAATACAGAAAAAAAAACTCAAGACATAAATTCTTACTGGAGACTTGCCTGTCATTCAAGACCCAAAAGAATAAGTATTCTATAAAAGAATAGTTTGTTTTGTGAACATGTAGATTTTTGTGTCTGTGGCAGCAGCTATTATTATCTACAGAATGAGAGAAAAATTTGCCAGTTATGTATATGATAGGTGATTAATATCTGGGTTGTATACAGAATGCAAAAATTAAATAATAACCAAGTCATCCAATCATCTCCACCCTATATATGCAGATTAATTAAATATGCAGAGAGCTTTCAAAAGTACAAATGGCCGATAAATGCATGAAAAATATTCAGTGTCCTTAGCCACCAGATAAATGTAATTGAAGTTCATTTCACTGTGATCAGAATGGCTATCATCAAGCAGGCAAGCAGGGGCTGGAGAGATGGCTCGGTGGGAAAAGAAAGAGCATCTGCTTGGTACATATGAAAACCTGAGTTCAGATCCCCAGTTGCATACTCTGTGGTCTTATGTACTTCTTATTCCAGCATTAATTGGGGTGAAGACATGGAGACTGCTGGTAACAAGTTCAGTGAAAGTCTGTCTCAAGGGAATCTGGAGCATGTACATACCACTTCCTCCAAAGAAATCAAACAACTACCAATGTTGGTGAGATTAAAGAGGGGAGGGATACACAGAAATTACTATGGCAGTTCCTAAAAAACACTAAAAATAGAACTACTGTATGAGCTAGCCTTATCACTTCTGATTGTATATCACAAAAATACCTGTACACATATATTTATTGCATTATTGTTCACAAGAGGCAATACATGGAATGCCCCTAGTGTTGTTCTTTCGTTACTGTTATAAGAATAAAAGTTGGAGAAGGGGCAGGGGCGGGAGGTCCCGAGTGAGGGTCCCAAGTGAGTGGGGTCCCAAAGTAAGGGACCATATGGGAGAACATAGCAGGTTCCATAGCAGGCGAGGGTGACCATACCTGTTAGGCATGTATGAAGATATAATGAAATCCACTATTTTGTATGTTCATTAAAACAACCCCTCAAACAATTTTGTGTGATGGTGAATTTACAATAATTGGTTCAGTGTAAGCAAAGCTTACAGTGAAATATCCCTGTTAGGAAAATGCCATTTCAAGCTGGGTAGTAGTGGCACACACCTTCAATCCCAGCACTTGGGAGGCAGAGGCAGGCCGATTTCTCTACAAGACCAGTGTGGTCTACAGAGCAAGTTTCAGGACAGCCAGAGAGGTTACACGGAGAAACCTCATTTTTACCCCTCCCCCACAATAATAATAAAAAAATAAAGGCATGGGAGGGTAGGGGAGAGATGAAGGGGTGGAGGAGAAGGGCAGGTATGCATGAGCAAAGTACAAGGATGTAGTTAATGGTGCTAGATTGCCTGTCTAAATGTTCAATGCTCAGGTTCCTCCCCGCTTCCTTGCACTGGGAGTGGTAATGAGGGGTAAGTATTGTAATTTGAGAAAAGCAGCACACAAGAGAAAGATGCCATGTGATAGGGTTCAAGCAGAGGGAAAGGGATCATAAAAAGGGGAAAAGGGATGGGGAGACCTGAGCAGCAGAAAAGAGGAAAGAGAGGAAGGTGACAGGGGAGAGAGAGTAAGGGACAGAAAGAGGAGGAGGGAGGGAAGATGGGAGGTAGTTAGGGTCCTTTAAAGGGGACATAATGAATGTGCACAGGTGGTGCTTTTAGTGGCTGGAGCTGAGGACATATCCTCTCAGAACCCCAAGGACAGGCCAGTACAGATGCTTGAATAGTAACAGTAAGAGCTTGACATTATTACAAAACTTTTATTTTAAAAATAGTTTTAGTTATGCATATGTGTGTCTGTATGTGGAACTGGAGTTACAGGCATTGTGAGCTGCTTGACTGACATGGGTGTGGAAGTGTAGGGAACTACTTGCAACCAAGAAACCATCTTTCCATCCCCTGATTGTTTTAAAAGACCATTTTCTTAAAAATCAAAGTATCTTGTGCTGATAGAAGATTAAAAAAATATGACCCATTTTTGTTTTATACACCATGAAATCTGAAACCCATTCATTCTGTCAACAGCTAGTCTTAGAGATGTGATAACTGTGGCAATGTCTCCTTTTTGGACAAACCAAATTGAATTAGGGCTTATTCATTCATATCCACGACTTTTAGGAACTATGGAGAAATCCCATGACTTCTGCTTCACAGGTCTTTCCCCAGTCACCATGATTGTGACCATGTACCAGCTTTGGAAAAGTAGTATTCCAGGCAAGACCAACCTTGGTGAATGGTTTTGTGGTGCTGGGTATTGAACCTGGGACCTAGTGCACCCTAGGCAATTATTTATAACTGAGCTATATCACCAGTTTAGTAATTCTTAAGGGGTGTTATCAGGCTAAATGGTACTGTCAGTATCTATGTTTTAAGAGAGAGGACCATTGTCCTACAAGACTTGCTATAAAGTAGCATAGAACAAGTATTGAATTAATGAATAAATAAATCAATGGATAAGTCTGTGAATTATACAGAATTTTGGCAAGACAGGATTCCTTTGTGCAGCCCAAACATGCCTTCCTGTGATTGGTGGAACTGGAAGTTGTGTTGACCAGTACAAACACAACCCTTCATTTCATCCCTCCTAGAGTATCAGGGTGTTTTAGAGTCAGTCAGAAGCCACTCCCCCCTTTTGTAGCAATATAAAACCCAATTAAGGATTTCTCAAATGGCCTTTCCACACTTCCCTGGGATGTTTACCATGGGTAGAGTGGTCAGAAGTACTACCAGGAAGAGGAAAATGCAGCAACAGCTCCAGTGGCAATAAGCCACAGTAAGTAGTGGCAGCAGCCAAATAGTGGGGACCAGCCTAAATGGTAGTTGGTGGTGAGAAACAGGCGTTGGAGAGAGTGGTCATGGCAGTTATGGACCTCAGAAGTTCAGAGACTGCAGGTCGGTCCCTAGGTACCGACACCAGAAACTCAAAGGCTGTCATCCTTGATGGTGCTCATTGTTGTCAACTGTTGAGAGAGCCAACTGTTGAGCCTCAAGAGAGCTGGGCTAATGGAAAACAATAGAGCAGTTAAGTCCTAACGTACATTCTCAGAGCTATTTGATCCTGGATTTTAAGATTCAGACATAAACTACAGTTCTCTGGCTAGAGCTATAAACCTCTAAAATGTCAGCCCAGTCTTTGCAGCTCAAGGATCCATGTCTTCCATTAGAAGGTGGACATCATTAGCAGAGATTTTGGTCCTGATGGGGACCCGGTCAGCTCACTGGTAGCTGTGCAGCATGTACAGACATGATACATTATATAGACACGGGGGTGTAGTGTAAAACGATAGAGCCAGAGAAGCAGGACAGACAGAAGAAATACTGTGCAGGAACAAGCCCAAGGCACTAAACAGATTCTTGCAATGGGACAGAATAATGGGTTCTTCCAAGACTAGAGCCACTAGGATTAATATCGGATCACCAGGTGTTTCCAGAAGCGATGACACAGTTATCAGGAAAATTAAACTTTCGTGACTTCTCGGAGTGGGTGACATGTGGTAAAATAGGTCATTTTCCCAAAAACCAGTCTCCACAGTACTCACTCTCCTGAGCCATGAACTTCACGAGAACCGTCTTCCTAGTGGCCCAAAGTCAATGACACCAGCATCCCTCACAAGGAGGTAACTCTGAGCAACTCGGGCTGTCAGTGCGACCTCAAGCCCACACGTGCTGACGGGCACTTGGAATGGAGCGGCCACGTCTCCCGGGAGGGTCAGATACCTGGCTTGCCCGGGCCCCGAGTCCGCCTCGTCCAGCCAGGGGCAGGTGAAAGCGACTTTCCCTGGCCTGGGCCCGCAGCCGCGTGGCGTCGCGGTGCGGTGGGTGTGCGGGGAAAGCCGGCCTCGGGGACCCCGTCGAGGGCCACGCGGCCCGGGGAAGCCCACAACTTCCCGGCGGGAACGCGGGCCCCGCGGCGCGGGCTGGCGGGGCGGTGTTCTCGCGAGAGGAGGCCGAGGGGCGCGGGTCGCCGCGGGTCTGAGGGGCGCGGGGCAGCCTGGGGACGAGCGCCCGGCTGGGGCGCCGAGCTGAGGCGGCGAGCGGGGCCGGGGCGCGGGGAAGCCGCTGCCGCCTGTCGCGGAGAGCCAGCCCCTGACGTCAGGAGTTTTCCTCAAAGTCAACAACAAGCCCCGCGGCGGCAGCCCCCGGAGGGAGGAAGGAGGGGGCGGGGAGGCGGCTGAGGCCCCCGAGGCGAGGAGAGGCCGCAGTCCGGGGCCCCCGGCCCTGCACGCTCGGCCCGCAGCCTCCGCCCGGCGGCGGGGCAGCTGGACCCGGGCCCCCGCCCGTGCGGTGTTTTCTGGTGATGAATTGAATTCGCAGCCGATATCCGACTCCCAAGTAGAGTCTCCGCCTCCTCCTCCTCCCCGCGCCGCCGCCGCCCGCCCTCCTCCTCCCGCCTGCCGCCGCCGCCGCCGCCCGCTCCAGCGCCGCGGCCCGCCCGCCCGGCCGGCTCCCTCCCTCCCTCCCCTGCAGCCTTCGTCTCCCCTCCCGCCGGCAGCACCGGGCTCCAGGGGGCCAGAGGCTCAGCGGGGTGGGGGGGAGGACAGGAGGGGAGGAGGAGGGAGGGGGACCCCCGAGTCGCCCCCTCTCCTCCCCCCGCCCCCCCGCTCCATCCTCCGCCACCGCCCGAGCAGCTGCGGGGCCGCCGCCGCCGCCGCCTTTGCAGGTAACAGCCGCCGCCCCCAGCTCTCGCCCCCCTCCCCTCCCCGCCCCGCCGAGCTCCCCGAAGGCCCCGCGGCTCCCTCCCTGCCTCCCTCGGGAGGGGGCGGCGGCGGCGGGAGTGGGTGAGGCGGGGGCGTCTGGGTGTCACCGCGGCCGCCGGGGGCGTGGGCGGGGAGCCGGCTCCCCTCTCCCTCCGCAGACTTTGGGGCTCGGGGCGTGGAGGTGGAGGCCGGGGGATGCCCGGCGTGGGTGACACCGACACCCTCTCGCTTTGGGGGTCGGGGGGAGCGGCGGTCGTGCGCGGGCGGCCGGGGAGGGGGTGTTCCCGGCCTAGCGGTACCGTGTCGTGCGTGGTCGGGTGGCCCGGCCCGGCGCCTTAGGGCTCTGCTTAGCTTGAGCCCGGTCCCTTCATCCTCACTCGCCGGGCCGCGCGGCATGGGGAGGGGGCGGCGGGCCGGGGCGGGGAGGGGGCGGCGGCGAGGTTATGTAACGCGAGCAGCCGGTGGCGAGTCGGTGTTTGGGTTGGGGGGGAGGGGCCGTCTGCGCATGTGGCGGGAGTGCGGGCTAGGATGTACCGGCGTCCCCGGGGTCTCCGTCCTTGCACAGCTACCCACCCCACCTCAGCGCACCCCGCCGGCGCCCGGGAGAGGACGGTGCTGATGGGGTGCGGGTGTGCGTGTGCGAGGTGGGTAACGTGCAAGTCTGTGTTTTTATTAGTAGTGGGGTTTTGATCCGCTAGGGAGTTGTGTGCTAAGAATAGAAATGTGCGGAAGATGCTGGGTTTGGCTGATCCACGGATGCTGTCGCTGCTGGCGGCGAAGGCGGCTCAGGCTGCAAGTAAACAAACCAGCTTCTTCCTTGTCCACCTCTGCCTCCTGCGCAGCGGTCTGCATCAGCCTGGATGCTGGTGAGGCCCTTTGGAAGCCCGAAGTTGAAGCTTAAGCTGGTGGCAGTGATAGTCCTGATGGCTAGGCGGGGTCGCCCCTTGTTTGGGATTTCCTGGGAGTCTACACTTAAGTTAGAGATAACTGATTCTCTGCAGGGCCAGGTTTTTGCAGTAGTGGTGTTTACTGTTTATCTCTACAAAGCTTAACAACAACAACAACAACAACAAAATGCTTACCCATAAATTAAAGCTTGAATCCTCTCATATCTCCATCAAAACAACGTTATGAAAGTAAAACTCCTTTCACCAGTGTAGTATATTTTGATTAAAAGCATTGAAGGGTTGTGATTGATAAAGTTTACAGGTAGAGACTAAACCATAAAACCTGTGTATCTTTATTGATTAAGTTCTGTTATTAATAGAATTTTCACACTTTTAATGTGTCCTGAAAGGGATATAGAGCAAGGACTTCATATGTAATACATTGATAGTTGTCTCAAATCATTGGTTTAGACATGTGTTCCATATTTGGTAAAGCATGGTCATATTTCTTAGTAGAACTATAAATTTACAGGCAGCTATTGCATTTTTTTAAATGGCAGGAACCCTTATATTAGGTTATGTATTCATATCGGGGAAAGTTGAAAAAGTCCAAGGTGGAAGAGTCCAGTAAAGATGGTGTAAGGCGTGAAGATGGGTCTGAATATTCCAGAAGATGGTTGTCTAAAACAGTTTTTAAAAGTATCTTCATGAATTACTAGTTTTCCAGAATGGATGACTAGAATCAGTTACATTCGAGAGCAGTTCAAAAGTGCCTTTTATTCCTTTTGTCAATATGAAGTCTTGGTTCTGTTTAATGATAACTTAAAAAAAAAAATGACCCCAGTATCTGTAGCTTGAGGATCTAATTTTAAAGTGTCATTTGAATGTGACAGCTTTTGGATAAATGTTGGTGTAGGGTGTTCTGTATATTTGCAGTAGCATGTTTTCTTACAGTTTTTAAAAGTCATTATCTCAAAAAATGATGAAATTGTTATTCATATTAATCTTGTCCTGTATAGTTAGGTTTTCTGTAATGAGTGAATAATTTTTAACTTAAAATTACTTTTTTTAAACCTTGACATTGTTTTGAGTTGATATTAAATTCTTCTTTTGAACTTTTTATATTTGTAATTGTATTATTATTTTGGAATAGAGGGGTGCCCTTGTGTAGCTTAGGCTTCCATGAAACTTACTCTGTAGCCTGGGCTGGCCTGCTCCGGATCCTCTTGAGTGCTGGGATTACAGGTGTGTGCCAACAATGTAAGCTTGTTTATGTAATTTTTAACTAAAACATTTTTTAAATAAGGTTCAATTCACTGAACAAATTTTAAGATGAGGAGTGTGCTTTGGAGAGATAAGGTTTTAGCCCTTCACTTACAAGATCTTGCCATGAAAGTTTGTTTTTCAGAATCACTGTACATCTAAAGTCTTGGTTAAACTTCAGGAACAAAAGTTAGCATGGATTACAGTGTAGGTGTTTAGGAGTTTTAAACTTCAGGTTTTGATTTTAACATGAAAGTTTCTAAATGTTTAGGCTTCTTTCTAAAGAGGAACTTGTGTCATACATTGTTTTAGAAGTTTAGCTTTTGTTTTAACTTTGAATATTTTTATGAAGAGATAACTAGTTATACTTTACTTTGTCTATAAGTTCAAGAATTTGTCCCTGGGATGAAAAGGTGATTCCTGTTAATGTGTTAATTGGATCTGAATCATGATATAGTAAGATCTTGGCTTTATAGTGATTATGTTTGTAGTATTAAGAAGAAGACCCAATTTGGGATCATTTTAAATTTACACAATAAAATGCAAGATGAAAAAAATCATTTTATTTGTTTTATTTTGTAATTTGACTGCATTTTCAAGTTACTCTGAGTATTGCAAATATTTTTAATGGGAATTTTATGTTAAAATCTTTGAGTAATGTAAAAGTTGCTGTTGAGCTCCATATTTCAGCATCATGTGTATTATTCTTAATCTTGGTTTAGTATAGCATATCCTTTTGCAAAGGTAGGCTAATGTAAAAAGATGTGTTATAGTCTTTAACATTTGATAGGGTTAGGTTCAATTTCCAGTTAATTCTAGCCACTACCCTTTGAGCACTTGTCATATGCCAGATGTTGCTTATATGTGCTTTACATATTGTACTTCATCTAATCTTCAGAACAGTGTTGATGCACTTTGGAAGTGAACTTCACATGAGAAAACACTCCATATAGCATAAAGTCACTTCATTTAAAATTTCCTGTTTTTGTACCCATTCTTAGAGTCCACAGTGACACTGCTAAGTTTTGAATATATATATATATATATATATATATATATATATATATATATCTCACACACACATGTTCTATACTATAAGTTCCATGCAATCAAGTTAATATAGTGTTAAAAGTTGTATTGATTAAGCTGCTAACATTTCTTTCACCTTAATTATTTCAAATGTCAAAATACCTGAATTGTTTACACATTTTATTTTAGTGTACTTCATCCAGTTAGAGGTATATTTATTTCTTCTGCAAGGGAATCTTCAAATAGTAGTTGGCGAATAAATAATATGCTTTTTGACTTATCAATGTGTTTTATAAAAACTATCTAAATATATTTATTTAAAGATTATTGCCCTTTTAAGGTATTTTACATTTCTAAATGGGTGATCTTCCTTGAATTCTGAAGGGAAAATAAAAAGGTTTACTAGAAGAAAACAAAAGATGTTCAGATGAGATTTTCTCTCTTAAATATAAAGAAAACCTCTGACTATATCTGTGCGTCTGGGGGATTTGGAAGGTAGAAGGAAGATAGAATTTAGCCAATAATGGAGATTAGCCTGGATTTGATCTGAGTTGAATGGCTACTTGATATTTTGTATTAACTGTATATTAAATTTTGAGCATAGCTGTACATAGTCATTATTGTCATCTATAATACCATTTCTGTATGAAGTCAATTGTAGATTTCAATGTTAAGAATCTTAAATATTAGCTCTGTAAGAGCTATCAAGCATCTAATGCTACATTTTCTTTGCAGCTAAGGAGGTAGAGGTATAGAGAGAATTAAAGGGGCATTATTAGCACCACTCTGAGCAAAGCAGGGTTGTGAAAAGTTATTCAAGTTTTTTGAAATGAACTTTGTCAGGGATTTTAATCCTGTGTGTGTGGGGGGTCTGCGGTTAATTCTTAGCGTTTAGTGGACTGTAGATAGGTTTTGTGTGTGTGTGTGTGTGTGTGTGTGTGTGTGTATGTGTGTATTAACTATTTTCATTTATAGTTTGAGAGGCACTTGAGACAGATTTTAGAATTTTATATGTATATTGAATCAAATGGCCAGTTGAGCCAGTATTCTTTAGTAGCAGTCCTCAGCCTGTTGTCATAGGTGCCTTCATATACAGATATGCAACATTTTACCTTAGAAGCAAAGGGGACTGCTTCATCAATATCTGGTTTATTGGTTTAGGTGAAGCAGAGGATAAGCATAGCCCCAGTGTTTTAAATCAGAATATTAGGTATATCCCCGAGCACAAGCTTTTTAATAATGGATATGTTGGTTGAGATTGTACATTGATGTCCTAAATAGAGAAAAATGGAAAAATGCTTTGTGTTTTTGTGGATGTATTTTTAAGTTTATAAAGTTGACTTTTAGGAATTAGTAATTTGAAAGATCTGACAATTTGTCTAAAAGTTCCAGGTTTCAGAAAAAAAAAAATCCACAATGTTATTACTGTATTCTGAAGAGAGAGATAGTTAATAGGGTAACAACTCCAAGTAAGAACAGATTAGAGTTATTGGAAATATAAGACAAATTATCTATAAGGTCTGTCTCTTTATTTTCCTGCATATCCCATTGAAAATTGATACAGCCTTATGTATTTGTCCTGGCATATAAATTAGTTTCTTCTGTTGTTTTTTTTGGGGGGGGCGGGGGAGTTAAGAACAGGGTCTTATATATTAAACCACCTTTCACAGCTCTTCCCTTGTACTATTTTTATTTTGAGCCACAGTCTCACCAAGTGGTTCAGACTAACCTTGAACTTGCTATACTGATCAGATTGGCCTCAAACTTGTGATCCCCTGCCTCAGCCTCCAGAGTAGCTGGGATTGCAGTCATGTGCTACCATTCTGACTTAGCTTTTCCTTAAAATATAGTTTTAAATCTGAAACTACTTTAGAATCTGAAGTAGTTCCTCTTGTACTCCATTTATGTTTTAAGATATCAGTTGTGTTTGAATTAGTTTCCTTTATTAAATCAGTTTGGCGGTCATAAATATTGTCTATAAAATGATAACATGGAACCTTACAGCCAAAGATCAACTGTAAAGAAAGCTATTTTAGATTTTAATTTAATTCCCATAAACATATGGAAATCCAGGTTTGATGGGTCATGTCTGGGGAATCCATCTCCTGGGGGTTTCAGGCAGGTTCAAGGACATTTTGGGATATATATGGAGTCCCAGGATACTCTGGCCTACAGATCTCAGAGACCACCCACCTCCACTAAAAAAGGAGATAGTTAACATACAGGAAATTATTAACATATGAAAGAAAATTACTGGGTGCTTTTCAACTTGTTTAGTTTTACGTTATTTCATTTTTGATAGTTTTGTTTTTTCCTTTGTTTTTCCTTAAAACATTTTGATAATTACATTTATGAGTTCATATTTTGCTATTTTTGTATAATGCAGATGAAACTGATGGAAGACCTTAATTGTGGGTGATAACTTTTATTGATTATCCCCATGTGTGGTAACTGGGGAATACTGTCATTGTTTTTGAACACAGTTTTCTTAGGTTCACAATTCAGAGTCAGATAAGGTGATATAAGTGAAAGATCTTGGATAACAAATAAGTCTTAGAAAAGACTTAAGATACTTTTTAATTCTTGACAAGTCAGAAGATATATATATATATATACATATACACACATATATATGTATATATATATATATTGTGTGTGTATAATTTATTGATTAAGTATAGGTATAGTTCACATTTTTGAGTGAATGACATTCTAAAATAGTTTTGGTATTATTGTTTTAAATTGCATGACTGATGCTGAAGCCTTTTGAAGATTCCTTGAAGCTTCAGTAAGAAATTACTTGTCTCCGTTTTGTTCCCATAATGGATAATTATGGGTAGCATTAAGATTTCTTTTATTTGGAGTTGAAAATTGACAGACCAACAAAAATTATTTAAAATGTCAAGAAAAAATAAGGTAGTTTTAATGTAGTCTCATCCTTGCACTTTATGGAAGGCCATAGGAAACATGATTTAACATCCAGGAATTTTAATTATTTGTATATAAATACTTCCATGATGTTTAAACTTGGTTTGTTTTAAAAATGGCAGTATGCCATTTTTGCTGTTGTCTTACTAAACTTTATTATCTTAATAAATAATAATGTTACATCTTTATACATCATCTACTTATTCAAATAATTCTGTATTTGTTGAATAAGTGCCAGGCACAGTCAAATTGCTTTAATAATTTATATTGTGATTCAATGGAATTAAAGATGGGAAGTGTTTTGTACATTATAAAATGATATTCAAATGAAGTTATTACCATATTCTCTAATAGTAAATCATGAATGAATATATCTTTACTATTGAATCCACTATGAATTTTGTGTGTAACTTTTTATAAGAATGGTAAAAATTAGATCATCTAGTACTAATTCAATGGACTTAATTCAATGGACTAAAGAATAAACCAAATTTTATGTTAAGTCATTGGAGAGTTACTATGGAAGGAGGATGAAATTCGCTTTACCATTGGAAACAGATGACAGAACTATAGTTCATCTGGTCGACTAGTGTTGATGTAAATGTGGAAGACTGTAGATGGCTGGAGCAGGAGCATAACCAGAGAGAGACTGTAGATGGCTGGAGCAGGAACATTGCCACTTTGGAAATCTAACCAGAGAATATGGTTACTGCTTAGGAGCCAATAGCATTGCTTTTACATATAAAGGACAGTGCTTTCTGCTAATCTAATGATTACATTTTAAACATTATGTTTGAAGATGGTACCATTTTAGCCTTTACACACAAGAACAGGTTTTAAAGCTGAAAGTGTGGTTATGGGTAAAATATGGTGTTTTAAGATACAATGAATGAGACCACCTCTAATAGTAAGGTTCAGTGGCCTAATAAAGTTTGTAAATCTTGTTTTAACTTAATGTACATTTTATAAGTTCAGTCTTAATATATACACATTGATTATTCTCTTGTCCTCTCTCTATCCAAGAAACTAGTTTTCAGAAACAAGGCCATTATAAAATACTATTAATTGACTTGGGTTGATCTGATTCTATTTCAGGAAGACTTCCATCCTCTTAGTGTTTTTCGTAAGGGTATTCTAGCACAATTTACTTTAATTGGAAGGATCTCTTGGATATATTCTTTTTGATATTACTGTAATGTTTATTCTGCTTTTATTCCCAAAAGTGATATAAATTTTCTTTTGTTCAGGTTATATAGCTTTATAGTGAGAAAAACAAAAAGTCTTAGTAGAGATGGAGCCCGTTTATCTAGTAGTACCAATGAGAAGAGCTCTGTGCAGCTATGATGATGACATCATTTTGCACTAGTCTTTCCCAGCATTTAACTTAAAATTATTTATGCAATATACAGAGCTAACCCTTTGACTTATCTCACTGTAATATGTACTTAATTGGATTCTTGAGGATACAATGCTAATCAAAATAAAATGATGTTTGAATGCTGTACTTTACGGCTTTTATGTTTTCATTCTGTTTTTAATGTGAAGTGGATATAATTTTAAATAATGTGACTTTTCCCCTTATCAGTATTCAGTGTGGGAATTGCTGGTGGTAAATCATATCTTACTTTAGAAAGTTAATGTTAGTAGAGATGTCTTAGAAAGACGAAATTATAAAATTTCCTCAAACTTACTTGAACAAATGATTTATCTTCTCAAATATCTTTTAATGTTCTTCCAGACAACTATCACAACATCTCCTTATTCTACAGCAACAGGTCCCCGTGATTATGATTTTGAGTAGTTTTGAGTAGTCTTGTCCCTTCCTGTATGTGTTGCTCATGACATTCTTGTACAGCCATGGCAGGGTAGTCTTCTGTTGAGCCAGTTAGCCTTTGTCAGATTGTTCAGAGGATGTTTAGTGTTGATCGCTGATAGATAAATAGCTAGGCTTTGCATATAATGTGTGTTGGAGGAAGACTTGTAACCTAGGCCAGTACTAGTTGGAAATCCAACCTTGAATTTAATGCTGTGCACTATTTATGAATATACATCTGTACTCAATGGGTACAGTTACTCTGTGTACCCATTTTTTTTTTTTTTTTTTTTGGTTCCCTAAAGTTCATGCTGTTTGCCTTAGTCCACTTAACACCAGTATATCTGCTTCATATTTTTGCAAATGTAGAAGCACTTTTACCAAGTTTTGTAGAAGCATTTCCCTTCTACTTTGGTAGGGACAATAATAAACAGTCCATTAAGTTTATTGCTTTATATGTAAGGAAGCCTTTTTATTCTAACCTATATAAAGACCTAGGAGATACATTTCTAGTGTTTGTCTTAGGAAAAACTATATTTCTTCTGAGCAACTTTGTTTTTTGTTTTTGTTTTTAAAAATATTACAGATATGGTTAATACTGAAATCTATCATGTTTTTGAATTTTCTAATTTCCTAAAACATTTGGCTCACCTTTCATATGTAGAGTTTTGAAGTGAAGGGAACAGACTTGGGAGTCAGGTACTCTGAATTTAGATTTAGCTCTACAATTTACTACCTTGAAATCTAGTGATTTACCTATTCTCTGTGAGCCCCAGTTTCTCAGTTCTGTAAATGAAGTTAATAGTGCCCTATCAGAGTTGTGAAGATTGTCAGATTATGAAGATGAATAGTTCTTGGCTTATCTTTTCTACCTCATATTCCCTTTGTTTCACTTGCTTTATCTACCAAAATAATTACTTATTGTTGTGTACTTAGTGTACTCTACCTAAATTTTTTTTTTTAGAGCAAATCAGAATATGTAAATGTTGGTTCCTTGGCACTTTGTATTTTACATAAAGTACAGCAATAAAAAATACTTAAAAATACATTGACATAACTGTTTCTGAAATTAAAGGGATTTGAGCCACCTAACTTCCATTCTTTCTCCTGTCATCTCAAGTATACATTACAAAAATGCTTTCAGTTTACACGTGTAGGTTTAACAGTGGTTTTGTTAGGTCATTTTATTTCAGTCTCTTAGGTTAAATGTTTCACTATCATTTAACACTTGTCATGAGACCAGAGCAGTGTACTCATTGTAGAACTATTTAGTAAATAAGCACAAACACACACACACACCCCACCATATTTGAAGAGCTAGATTTTATGTGAAGTGAGGCCAATTGAAGACATTTACAAAGGCTTAGTTGTTTGTTATTGCTATGTGAGTTCAAGAATGGAAAAAAAAAAAAAAAGAAATTCTTTCTTCAATACTTCCTTCCAGGCTGAGTCATCACTAGAGAGTGGGAAGGGCGGCAGCAGCAGCAGCAGCAGCAGCAGCAGCAGCAGCAAAGAATCAAAATCCTAAAACTGATCCTGCAAAGCATCATTTCTCCAAGTTGGGGGCTCAGAGGGGAGCCATCATGAGCGATGTTACCATTGTGAAAGAAGGTTGGGTTCAGAAGAGGGGTAAGTTAAGTGCTCAGCAAAGCTGTGAACAGTACAGTTGGTGAAAATGTTGAACAGTGAATGGATACTGAGAGTTGATCTCTACCATGGTGCTGTTGGAGTAAACCCTGTTTCATCGTCTAATAAGACAGAAATAATGCTCAACATATAGGTTAGGAATTTGCTCATTAGGGATTTCCCTCTAAATCTTGGTTTTTATAATTTGTTATTACCATACTAGATTTTGTATGCATGCATGTTAGTAATGTATTTTTTTCTGTGATGTCTTCAGATTCTACAGATTTCAGAATTATTTAACATGTTGAAAAGGACTCTTGTGTTCTATATCATAATGCATGAATATTTAGGTAAAAATACTGTATTGAGTCGATTTGTAAGGTAGCAGAAAGGCATAATGTATAAGGGGGAAGGCTTAATCCATACCTTGTTGGACTAAACAGGCCTATCAATTAAGTAACTTAAGCTCTGATATAAAAGTACAAATGATTTTCTTTGTGTTTAATTTGATACTTTTTGTTTACATTATCTATTTTTACTATGTACTTTCTTTAGCTAAATTTATTAATAAGTTCTGCTGTAAAACTTATAGTCTGAGTAATCACCACCTTTTATCATCCCTGTGTTTATTAGATCTAGACATTAGCCTGGTTGCCCAGCCACTGTATCTATCTACCTTCATGGCCAGTTGAATAAGATGGGGGATGCTTTTAAGTCCTGTATTTTTGTTAGCTAATTGAAAGTTACCTCTTAAACACTAATTTCCAAATTCTTTGAAGGTCTTTGTTCAATACTTATGGTAAGAAGCTACACTCATTATGGGATTTAAAAATAGGTTTCATTAAGTTGTATAACATTTTAATGAGTTGTGCCTATTGTTTGTAGTGATGTGTCAAACCCTACAGTCCTGATACAGAACATGTTTTATCACTACAAAAGTTTCTTTCTGCCTCTTTGATTCAGTGCTTCTCTGTCAACCTTGGCAACCACCTAATATGCTATCTGTTACTATAATTATGCTTTTCTAAGATTTCAATGGACTTTATGAAATCCACAGTCTTTTGTGTCTGGTTTCTTTCCTATATGCACTTCTTTGCTTTATCCATGTGGTATATGTGAGAAGCAGAATTCTAAGTTCTGAAAATACAATTCTTCATTTATTTGTTTATTTTTAATTAGTTGTCTTTTTGAAACAGAATCTCACTTTATACCCAAGGTCATATATAGCTCAATTAGTCATTCAAATGGATGACCTTCCTGCCTCAGCATGTATTACCACTCTTGGCTTTGTCTTTTTAATACTTAGTAGAAATTTGAGCTGTCTCTGAATAATTTGAATACATTTTTTATGAACATTGACTACATTCCTTCTTATAATGTGCTCCCATTTGTCTTGGGTAATAACCTAGGATAAGGTTTCAGGCTATATGGTAAGTGCCTTTTTAAAATTGTTAAAATTGTCAGTTTGTTTTCCAAAGTGACTGACCATTCATGTTGCTAAGTTTTTCTTTTATTCTCATGTATTTGGAAAACATTCTCATATTGCAGTGCTGTTTTTTGTTTTTTGTTTTTTTCTTAACTAGTTTATATTACATCTTTTGGGTGGCTCAGGGGAGGAGAGAAGATGGCAAGTCACTTAAGCCTTTAAAGTTTTCCTTTAATAGTTCATGAAATCTGTTTTGTAAGACTGTTGGAATACTCCAATGAGATAATGACTATGGATATCTCTATATTCCTGTTTGTCTAAGGCCTAAAGCCTTGAGTCTGTTTAATTAACTGAATCTTTTCTGAAATACCATGATGGAAGGTTGGTATTTAGTCCATAGAATATGTAATAGAAAACAAAGAAAATGGTCCATTAGAAATACTGTTGTTCCCCACATCTGACAGAGGGCTGATTTCCAAAATATACAAAGAACTCAAGAAGCTAGTCACCAAAACACCAAATAATCCAATTAAAATGTGGGGTACAGAACTAAATAGAGAATTCTCAATCAAGGAATCTAAAATGACTGAACGACACTTACGAAAGTGATCAACATACTTAGCCATCAGGGAAATGCAAATCAAAATAACTTTGAGATATTATCTTGCTCCTGTCAGAATGGCTAAAATCAAAAACACCATTGGAGAGGATGTAGACAAAAGGGAATACTCCTCTACTGCTGGTGGGAGTGCAAATTCATACAGCCACTTTGGAAATTAGTATGGTGGTTCCTCAGGAAAATGGAAATCAGTCTACTTCAAGATCCAGCAATAACACTCTTAGCCATACACCCAAAGGATGCACATTCATACAATAAGGACATCTATTCAGCTATGTTCATAGCATCATTATTTGTAATAACCAGAACCTGGAAGCAACCTAGATACCTCAACTGAAGAATGGATAAAGAAGATGTGGTACATTTACACAATGGAGTTCTACTCAGTGGAAAAACACATGGAATCTTGAAATTCGCAGGCAAATGGATGGAACTAGAAGAAACCATCCTGAGTGAGGTAACCCAGTCACAAAAAGACAAACATGGTATGTACTCACTCATTTATGGATTTTAGACATGGGACAAAGGATTACCAGCCTACAGTCTACACTGCCAGAGAAGCTAGGAAACAAGGAGGACCCTAAGAGAGGGTTCCCTAGAGAAGGGGAAAAGGACAAGATTTCCTGAGCAAATTTGGAGCATGGGGGTGTATGGTTATAGTTTTCCTTAGTATTAAGGATAAGGTACATATAGGACTTTAGACTCACAAGGATTACGATAGATGCTAGAATATTTTCTTTAAATCTTGCTAAATGTTAATGGACTAAATATTGTTAACTGTGGTTCTTATTTGATAACTGATTTGTTATATATTTTGCTATGTTAAGGTTAAAACCCTTTTTATTTAGAAAGAAAAGAGGAGATGATGGGAGATGTCATCCTGTAATATCTTTCTCTTATTGGTTAATGAATGAAGCACTATAGGAAAGCAAGATAGGTGGGACTAGGAGACAAGGAGGATTTGGGAGAGGTAGGAGGAGATTAAAAATGTAGGACCAAGAGAGCAAAGGTCCGGATCCTCTCTCGGGTAAGCCAAAACCATGAGGAAATTCTTAGATTAGTAGAAATGGGTTAATATTTAAGACAGAGCTAGCCAATAAGTAATGCTGGTAACAGGGCAACAGCTTTATATCTAATACAGCATCTCTTTGTGTTATTTGGGGCTGATGAGGCTCTGGGACCAGGCTGGCAGGAAAACTGCCTGTAATGTGGTAGGGGTGGGGAGGGAGTTAGGAGAAAAAGGAGAGGAGAAGATCCAAGAGGAGGACATGAGGGAGCAGGAATTTTGAGTTGAGAGCAAGAAAAGAGATACCTTAATAGAGGGAGTCATTATAGGTTTAAAGAGAGTTCTGGCACTAGGGAAATAATTGTCAAGAGATATACTAGGATAACCCCAACTAAGAATCTAAGCAATAAGGGAGAGGCTAACTTAAATGCCCTTTCCCAATAATGAGATTGATGACTACCTTAAATGCCATCCTAGAGCCTTCATCCAGTAGCTGATGGAAGCAGAAACCCACAGCTAAATACTGATAGGAATTCCTGGAATCCAGTTGTAGAGAGAAGAGTGATGAGAAAAGGGGTCAAGACCATGCAGGGGAAAGACACAGAAAGAGCTGACCTGAACAGGGGGAGCTCATGGACCTGAGTCTGATAGCTGGGAAATCACCATAGGACAGAACCAGGTCCCCTGCACATGGGTGTCAGTTAGGAGGCCTGGGAAACCTATGGGGCCCCTGGTAATGGAACAGCATTTATACCTAGTATACAAATGGACATTGGGAGCCCATTCCCCACAGAGGGATACTCTCTCAACCTAGACACATGGGGGAGATGGCCTAGGCCCTACCCCAAATGATGTGATAGATTTTGATGATCCCCCATTGAGAAGGTCTCACCCTTTCAATGGAGCAGAAAGGGCATGGGGGGTCATTGGGGGCCATGGGAGGATGGGAGAGAGAGGGAACTGGGATTGATATGTAAAAAAAGATTGTTTCTAATTTAAATTAATAACAATAATAAAAAAAGAAATGCTGTTGTTCCTGTAGTGGTCAGAGAAGTACTCTCTCTGTGTGTGTCTGTTTGTCTGTATCTGTGTTCATGTTTATTGAGAAATTGTAACCATCTGAACATAATGTGAGTAGTAGTTAATGGTGTAAAGTGAAATGGGAAAATATTTCTATTTTTTACCTCTTCAGCTGGTTCCCCTCTAGAGAAAGTCATTGTAGACTTTATTTTTAATTCTTCTGTTGATCAGTATCTAATTATAATACAATGCACAATATTTTATTTTTAGGTAGCTGTTTTTACCTGCTCTTGCATCTGTGTTATGAAAATGAAAAAATTAACGTTGAATACCTATTCACTTTTTTTTCTTTTTATTTTTTCCTTTATGGCTAAAATTAAGATGTTGAGAACATTGTGTCTAAATTTGCTTTTCCAAACTGTGTCTTGAATTCCTAACATTCCCTTTATGGATTGTGCTATCTATAATATTTATTGTATGATGCCAAGGTTTATAGTAAACTTGTTGATTCTGAAAAGCAACTAACAACATTTTGATTATTTAATGCTAGTAATATGATGGTATCCCAAAGGTAAAAGAGAATTTTTTTTGTGTGTGTGTGTGTTTTTTCCATTCTCGATATCATATCCTCCTATTGTTTGTATCATGGTTTTGTTTTTTAATTTTTCTGTTTTTCTTTTTATGACTTTTGAGACAAGGTCTGACTATATATCCCAGACTGACCTCCAACTTATGTTCCTCCTGCCTCAGTCTCCCAATTTGGAATTGTAGGTATTGGCCATGATATCTGGCTTAACCCTGAACATTGTTGTGGCCATGTTTTCCTCCTGCTGGTTGAAGAACATATATTTTATTCATTGGTTGTTTAGCTTTTTAACCATAATATTTGAAGTACTAATGTACTGTTTTCTGGTTATTTTAGATAGCTAACA